TCATCATCATCATCATCATCATCATCATCATCATCATCATCATCATCCACCTCCTCCTCCTCCTCCACCTCTATCTCCACCTCCTCCTCCGCCTCCTCCTCCGTAGCCATTGTGGCTCAAGGGAGCCCGGCTCATGGGGGGCTCACGCGAGATGCTCCGTGCGTGGGCCAGAGAGGCGAATGACTCCGGCGGCCAAGCGATGGGCGGCGGCCAGCGCGAGGACTCTGGCGAGGCGTCGCCGCCGGGAGTACTGCCAGGAGATTGGCGTGTCCGGGCCGCAGGCGCTGCAGCGCCGCACGGCGGTGTGCTTCTGGGTGGGCTTGACGGCCCAGCTAGAAGGGCCAGTGGGACCTGAGGAAGGAAAAAATGCAGAAGCATCAAAGCTGTCGAACGCGAGGGGGGTGGCGCCGGAGGCGGCGCCGCCCTGGGTACAATAGACAAAACCAATTGTTGGGCGGGCCACTCGATCTTCGCGGACCCTTGGGTGTCCCAAAGCTTCTCGGGGTCCCTGGCGCCATCGGGGGGCCCAAAAGAGTTCCGTGGGGGCATCTGCCGGCAGGCTGGTCTCTGATTCCGGGTGCGTCGACGTACTGCAGCAAGGCGGAGCACCTGAAGGAGGCAGTGTGGGCGGGCCGCGCGGCCCCGAGAGACGGGCGCCGCGGGCGCGGCTGCTGCTCGCCTCGGACGCCCTGGAATCCCGGGCTGCGGGCGGCGCTTCGCCTGACGAGGGGCCCAAAGCTGAAGCGCGCAGGCCCGCGAGTTGTGGGAGACCTGGGCCCACGAACAAGAACCCCCTTCGGCGGTGATTCTGGGGTTCCCATATATAATATATATATATATATATATATATATATACATATATGTATATATATACATATCCGAAGTGTGGGAAGCCCACAGCTGGACGACGGCCCTGGAGCGCGCCCCCGCTCATTTCCCCTCGGGCGGGTGCCATTGGGGGACGGCCCCCACGGGAGGTGGAGAAGAGGGTCCGAGAAGGGGCACTTTGGGGCCCCTCCTGGAGCCAGCAGGGGCCCAAAAGGGGCGCTGAAGTGCCCCGTGCTGTGGCCCTTCTCTTCGCCCCCCACTTGGGCCAGCCTCCATGATCGGGGGCGCACAGACATGGATTAGCGATCCATGGATTTGGCGCGCGGTCGCCTCATCCATGGATCGGGGGAGGTGCCCTCCCCGAAATGCGGCCGGTGCCGCCTCGCTCGGCGGCGGGAATCCACGATTTCCCATGGAAACGGGACCCGTCGCTAATCCACGCCCACCTCCTCCTCCTCCTCCTCCTCCTCCTCCTCCTCCTCCTCCTCCTCCTCCTCCTCCTCCTCCTCCTCCTCCTCCTCCTCCTCCTCCTCCTCCTCCCCCTCCCCCTCCTCCTCCTGACATTACCACCCGCCGATCCCCCGCAGGCTCGCCGCCGAGTGGGCATGTTGCTCCGGGGGAAGACCGCGCAGCGGCGCCGCGTGCGGCGCGGTCTGCAGGCTTTGAGCTGGAGGCCACGAGGGCCATAGCGGGCCTGTGTTCCACCACCACCGCCACCACCACCACCACCATAAGTTGGAGGGGGAAGGGGTCCTCCTCCTCCTCCTCCTCCTCCACCTCCACCTCCTCCTCCTCCTCCTCCTCCTCATCCTCATCCTCCTCTTCCACTTCGTCCTCCTCCTCCTCGTCCTCCGCCTCCTTCCCCCCTCCAACTTATGGTGGTGGTGGAAAACAGGCCCGTCAGACCAGGAGCCAGCACAGCACAGCTCGACGAGCCCACAGCACAGCTCGACGAGCTTGCAAACCGTGCCCCTCCTCAGCGTGGTGCCGCCGAGGCTCCTGCAGCAGTGCTCCCTCCAGGAGGACGCCGTCACGAGAACTAGTCTGCGGGTCCTCGCGGCGACAGCCTGAGCGAGCTAAACGACAAGGAGGACCTCGGCAAGCAGGCTTAGCAGGAGGGAGTCGTGCCGTTCGCGCTCGACGCGCGTGAGACTGCCTGCTTGCCCTCGGCCGACGGATGGGAGGGTCGGCTTAGCATGACGTCCTTGGTTCCAGGCTGGAAGTTGAGGTTGGCACGCCGCTGAGATGGAAGTGAGAAGCTCCCGCGTTCTGAGACTTGGGACCTGGAGCCCTGTCCTCGCTTATCAACCTCCCTGTCCCCCCCCCGTTCTTGCAGCCGGATCGGATTGATGATTTGCTCGCCCTGATGAGGCGGAGGAGGCGGAACGGAAGTAGGGTGAAGGAGAGAGGCGGAGTGACGCTCGGTGCTTGCTTGGCCCTCTGCTCCTGTCGGGGCACAGGCGGGGCCTCGCTGAGACATGCTTGCACCGCCGACAGATCTTCATCTGCATCTGCCTCCTCCTCCTCCTCCTCTTCCTCCTCCTCCTTCTCGTCCATCTCCTTCTCCCTGCTTTTCCTCCTCGTCCTCCACCTCCTCGTCCTCCGCCACCTCCTCCTCCGCCGCCGCCTCCTGTCTCCCGCTCCGCTCCGTTCCCGCGGGCCTCCACGGCCAGCAGTCTAACTTAAAACACTGCTCGCTGCCATTCACACCTGTTATGCTGGCTGAGGCGGCACTGGCCCCCCCCCCATCCCAAAAGGGTCGGCACACACGTGACGAGGGAGCAGTCCCGCTGCGAGCAGATGCACAGAGAACGCCGAGCATGCAAAAGCACCCACTCGCATGATCTCCGCCCCCCTCTCCTCATGATCATCCGCATCCTCCTTCTGCGCATCGCCATCATCGTCGCCGTCATCAGTATCATCAGCATCATCATCGTCAGCAGCAGCTGCAGCGTCCGCATCGCAACCACAATCACCATCACAACTCTCTCTCTCTCTCTGTATGTTTCCTTCTCCCTCGATCTACCAATACCGAGTCTGTTTATACGTCTCGCGAGCATACATGTCGTCATACCCTCTCACTCAAAGCTCCCTGGCGTCACCATCCCTCTCCTTGCCCTATTCCTCCTTCTCCTGATCACTTTCCTGCGCTGCTCCTCATCGCCTGCAGCCAATATCAATCCCTTCTCGTTCTCAAAAGAACAACTCCTCCCTTTCGTAGCACCATACGCGTCAGTAAGACGGCCCAGGCGTTTGATCGAAAGCTTTCTCACCGCATCTGATCCTGAAGCTTGCAAGTTGCAACAGTCACAAGGGCGGAGATGGGATCGTTTAAAAAATGCAGCTTTCGCATTCGCATCGCACACATTCGTCGCACAAGCTTGCAACAGTTTCGTCGATGGACTGCGGGGCTCACAATGGAGTTCTGGCCTCAGCGCTGCGCACATTCCTTCTAAAAGCTCACAAATGTGACAAGGATGGAGGCCACCTCCTGTTCAACAAATAATGTTCTTGTCTCAGACTTCCTCCACGAAAACCACCACACTGGTTTTCAAGGTGGTTCTCTCTCGCACGCAAAGCAAAGCAAAGCAAAGCAAAGCAATGCAAAACAACGCAAAGCAATACAAGACAACGCAAGGCAATGCGAAGCAATGCAACTCCATGCAACACAATGCCATTGCAATGCACAGAAAACCACAAACCAATGCAAGTCAATGCTAAGCAATGCGAAGCAATGCAAAGCAAGGCAAATAAATGCAGAGCGATGCCATCCATTGCAGAGTAATGCAAGGGCACGCAGAGCAACGCAAAGAAAGTCAAGGCAATGCAACAAGACGCAACGCAATGGCATGGCAGTGCAAAGCAGCGCGGAGCAATACGAGGCCATACAACGCCATGCAGAGCACCGCAGAGCCGTGCAGAGAACAACATGCCAAGCGATGCGAGTGCAGTGCGATACCATGCAAGGCACTGCGCACTGCCACCGCAGAGCCACGCGAAGCCATGCGATCACCATGCGGTGTGCTGCCATTGCGGTGCAGAGCCGCGCGGCGACGGACGCCGACGGCCGGGGCCCCCAGCGGCACCGGGGCCCGACGACGACCGGCAGCGACGGGTGTGGCGACGGGCGGCGACGAGCCGGCGGGAGCACCGGGGCCCAGCGGCGACGGCGGCGGCGGGCGGCTGCGAAGCTCGGCCACATTCGAAGGCCACGTTTTCTTTTAGTCGGCGCTGCGACATGGGGCGGGAAGGAGTGGAGGGGCCCTGGGACACACAAAGAAATACGCACAGATGAAGAGATTCCCGATGTTTTCCCCTGTTTTCTGGGTTTTCGTCTTCCCCCCCGCTTCCCATATCTTCCCATATTTTCTGGGGAATCGACGATTAATTGTGTCTGTGGTTTTTTTGTTCCTCCTGAAGGAGGGGGGGAGAGAGCGGGGGGTCTGGTTCCAGAACTATGCTCAGTGAGACTGTTTGCAAGAGTGCTGCCTCTGGGGGAGACTCCACCCGCTCGAAACAGGCGCCAAAAAACGACCAAGATCTACTCCAGAGGGGGGGGGGAAGGGGAGGTTTTGGGACCCGCGCCGATCGGAAAAAAACAATGAATAAAAAACAATCACTAAGCACCCCTAAGTGCAAGCACCGTTTGGGGAATGCGTAACAGCTGCATGGAGGCAGGGTGGCTCCTTTGCAGACTGAGGCTCCCCCTGCTTGAGACTCCATCGAAGCTCATGACCCGAATGTTCAAGACGCACAAGTCACACGGATGAGCGGCGGTCCTCTTTCAAGACGGGCGTCTGGCTGGACACCTCCTCAGAACTGTATGATCATACGTTTTCGCTTTATTTGAAGGGGCCCTGGGAACACACAAATATATAGACACAAATAACAGGATTCCTTATATTTTCCCCATATGTTCTTCGTTTTTGTCTTCCCCCACCATGTTCCATATTTTCCCATATGTTGTGGGGAATCGACGATTCGTTGTGTCTGTGTTGTTTGTTGTTCCCTCCCTTTCTGGAGGAGGGACCTTGGGACGGGAGTGTGTAAGGAAGCATCGCTGATGCATGTTTGGTTTACTCTGGTCATATTCGTTCTCACCATTACCATAGTCACTGCTGGTGGTTACCCCTTCTGCTGTCCTTCTTGTTCCTGCATGTTCTTCCCTTCCTCCCAGCCCTCCAGCAGTCCTCCTACAGTCCTTCACTGGCATCCACGGACACGTCTGCAGTAAGAGGTCCACGTCAGCCTTCTTATGCTGCCTTCCTGCTGATCGTGAAAAGGAAAGCGAGGGCGGAGTGCCCGATCTTCTTCATGGCGGTCTGCATGAACACCTGAAACCATCGGAATGTCAGGCCCTTACTGGTTCGAACATCCATGTCAATCTGCAGCTGCAGTGTGTCATTGAACGTAGTTTCCAGCACTTTCTCGTACTTCTTGAACGTGCTGACAGCGTTGGCAAGGCTCGAGTTCAGCTCTGAGACAAGCACCCCTAAGTCGGGAAATCGCAGGAAGATCCTCTGCCCCTGGAAGCTGCCGGTGGCCAAGGTGTCAAATAGGTTCTCGATGAGATTCTGCTGGCTTCTGATCTGGTCCCCGCTGCCTGTCCAGACATGTGGCGGCACGATGCTCTCAAAACATGGGCCCCCGCACACCGCCCGCCCAGGGCCGGCCTTCCAGCACAAGCTGCTCCGAGGCTGTCCTCGAGCCCCCGAGCCAGCCTCCGAGGGCCCAGGACCACCAAGACTCTGCCCGCCTCCGCGTCTGTCGAGCCGCCGCATGTCTAGGCCCTGGGGCTCGAAACCTGCACCTCCGGATCCGGCCGAGGGTTCGGTCCGACAAGAATGTGTCGACACCCGTGGCGACGAGGAGGCGCAAAAAACAGCCAACACACGCCCAGACACCTCAACCCTCGAACCTCGATCCTCGATGCTCGTACCTCGACACCTGCCAGCCGCCTCGAACTCGATCCTCGATCCTGCAACCTTGCATGCCGCCTCGAACTCGAGCCTTGAACCTCGAACGTGGAAGAACCAGGGCCGTCCACGGCGACAGCACAACTGAAAACAGACCGAACCGAACGCGAAACCGAAGCCGACCGAAGCCGACAAGCCGCGAGCAGCCTACAAAGGGCACGGCGACGCGGCAACGACACAGCGGCCGACGGAACCGAACCGACTGGACGCAGGCCGACTGCGACACAGCTGGAGACCGACCGAACCTCGGATGATCCTCGTCGTCTGGCTTTCGGGTCACACCTCGAGCCTCCAGCGGCCGCTCAGGACGATCCAAGCACCCCTGGGGCGCTCCCGACGAGGCGCAGCTGATGTAGAGACGCCCCAGGCTCCGAAAAACTCGAATTACCCTGCGACGTACCCGATCAGCTGCGTCAAATGACAAGAGCAGTGGGTCAAACTTTGCACGGACAGCGACAGTGCAGGCGCCGCCATGTGTTGTGCAGGCTACGTGAGATGCGCGCACGTCGCACGACTCGGAGGACAGACAGAAGGACGAGCGAGGGGCGAGGCCCCAGGCGAGACAAGCAAAATGGCGTCAGGCTTAGGGCTTCGGGCTTGGAGTGTCTCTGTGGTGCGCGCACGGTGTCGGGGGGGGGGGCGCGCGGCTCTATTGCGCGCTCGCGCTCGCGTCTCCACCCCCACCCCCGCCGGCGCTCCCCCCAGACCTGTTCTTTCGGGGCTTGGGGTTTCCTTTGCTTCCCCGAACGCGGGCGCGCTGTCGCCAAAACACTTCGCGGCGCACCAAGGCGCTCCCAGAGGGGTTTTAGGATCTGGCGCCAGGCCCGCGTCGACGCATCGGCGCGCGCTCCCAAGGTCCACAGGCCCGCGAGGCGGAGTGGCTCGATTGCCTCATGCTGCAAGACATAAAGGTTTGTTTCGCCCAGACAGGCGGGCCCCAGGTTGGGGGGGAGTCCCAGGAGACGAGAGGCCAGCGCCGGGTAACGTCCGAGCCAAGCTTCTGAGAGGCAGCAACCGTGCCGAGGGATGGCAATTGCGTTCTGGGGCGTTTTGGGTCGGGCGTTGTTGGGCTTGGTTTGGTCGTTGTTGGGCGCTTTGGGGTGTAACATTGGACGTGCTTGGGGCTCTTGTTGCGTGTTTGGCTTTCCGTGTTGGGCGTCTTTGTTCCCGTTTTTCGCCAAGGGGCGCAGGCCCCCGTTTGCCGAGTAACGGTTGAGACGAACTTCTGGCAAGCAGCGAGGGCCAGAAGAACATCCCCTCAAGAACATGAGACCCTCCGCCGGCCAAAACAAACAAAACATCCAAGTGTACCCTCCCCAGGATGCACAAGACCATCCAACAAGCATGAAGAACACCAGGGCACCCTCCCGGAACCGACCTCGATCCTATACCTCGGTCCGCTTGCATGAAAGCGGAGATGCTACGATTTTCGCCCAGGGAGGCGAGCCCTATAGTGGGGCCCCAGGAAGCAAGAGGCCAACGCCAGGTAACATTTGAGACGAACTTATGGGAAGCAGCAAGGTCGCCGAGAAACGGCCCAGAAGCTTCGTGGTCGAAGCAAACATGCTACGGCTCTCGCCCAGGGAAGCGGGCCCAGGACGGGGGACCCAGGAGACGCAAGGCCACTGCCAGGCAACGTTTAGGCGTTTAGGCCGAACTTCTGGGAAGCATCGAGGGCACTGCAAGATGGTCCAGGAGCTTCTGGTATGTATTCAAAAGAGGCATGATGCTCTTTCGCCCAGACAGGCGGGTCTCATGTCTTATTGGCGAAAAGCGGTATACAAAAAACAAACAGGAACTTGTCCGCCGTCGGGGACGCCTGTCCCTGGACGGCTGGAAAGGTTATACCCTTACGGTGGCACCTAGGGGGTATAACCTTTCCAGCCGCCCAGGGGCAGGCGTCCCCGACGGTGGAAGAGTTTATCGCTCCCCAATCAGAGCTTCCCTCTGTAGGGGTCCTAGCGGATTTGGCCGGGCCCGGGTGCCCCGGTGCCCGGGTGCCCGGGTTCGCCGCCGATTCGGTGGCCTGGCCCGGGTGCCCGGGTGCCCGGGTGCCCGGGTTCGCCGCCGATTCGGTGACCGGGCCCGGGTGCCCGGATGCCCGGGTGCCCGGATGCCCGGGTGACGGGTGCCCGGTGCCAGGGTGGGTGCCCGGGTGCCGGGTGCCGGGTGCCCGGGTGCCCGGTGCCCTGTAGCCCTATAGCCTTATAGCCCTATATCCCTATCGCCCTATAGCACTATAGCCCTATAACCCATATAGCCATATAGCCATATAGCCCATATAGCGCCCAAGAGCCCATATAGCCCTGTAGCCCTATGGCCCTACAGCCCTAAAAAGATTATGATTGGGGCTTTTCTCTGGTATCATATGTAATTTTCGCCCGCTGAATTTGAAGGGGCCCTGGGACACACAAGTAAATACACACAAATAAAAGAATCCCCCCATATTTTCCCATATTTTCTGGGTTTTTGTCTTCCCCCCCACTTCCCATATTTTCCCATATTTTGTGGGAGTCGACGATTAATTGTGTCTGTGTGTTTTTTCCCCTCCTGAGAATTTGATGTGGGAGATGCAGGAAACGAAAAAACAGCGCCAAGTACCGTTTGAGGCGAAGCTTCGGCGGTGGACAAAAACATCCCTTCAGCAAACCTCCCCCTTAGTGAAAGCGGCCCGGGACCAGAACCGACGGCCTGGACACGCAAAAAGTGGCGGCCGCGACGCCCTCTCGCGAACCGAAAGCGGCCACTTCGCTAACCGACGTGTCAGGGTAGGAGGAGGAGGAGGAGGAGGAGGAGGAGGAGGAGGAGGAGGAGGAGGAGGAGGAGGAGGAGGGGGAGGGGGAGGAGGAGGAGGAGGGGAGGGAGGAGGAGGAGGAGGAGGAGGAGGAGGAGGAGGAGGAGGAGGAGGAGGGGTAGGAGGCCGATCCACCTCCGAGATTCCTGGGGGGCAACGAGGGCACCGAGGAGCGGTCCCGGAGCGTCTCCGCCGCGAGGGGCGGGCCCCAGGGGGAGGGGGCGAGGACACGAGAAGCAGCGGCGGGCAGCGCTCTGGCATTGCGGACGCCACGACCATGGACCCCCTAACCGTCCTATCATTGAAAATAACATGTGTTTAACATGTGTAAGGCATGTTATGAAAAAAGTTTCAAACATGTTTTAACATATGTAGAACATGTTTGGCGCATTTTTAGATCTCAGCTCCCCAGCGATGACGAGGCAGGGTAGCAGGCAAGTAGGAGGCCGGGCAGAAGGCAGGTAGGAGGCAGGGTAGCAGGCAGGTAGGCGGGAGGGAGAGGAGGAGGGAGGCTGGAAGGAAGGAGCTGCGACTGCAGCACTCTATTCAAAAACGAAAACCCAACGCAGGAGGGTTGGGAAAAACTGTCTGTCTCGCCATCCTCGTCGTCGTCGTCCTTCGCCTTCGTCATTGCCGTCGTCGTAATCTTCGTTGTCGTCGTCGCCGTCGTCGTCGTGATCGCCGTCGTCGCCGTCGTCGTCGACGTCATCGCCGTCGTCGTCGTCGCTGTCGTCGTTGTTGCCGCATGTCTCGGAGCACACCCTGGCCCGACCGCCCGTGATACTCCGCGCGCCCGGCCCGCCCGCTAGGGTCCGCCCGCCCGACCCGCCCGACCCGCACGTTGGGGTCCGCCCGCCTGGAGGTCGTCGTCGTCGTCGCCGTCGTCGTCGTCGTCGTCGCCAAGGTCGTCGTCGTCGTCGTCGTCGGCGGCGGCGTCGTCGTCGTTGTCGTCGTCGTTGTCGTCGCCGTCGTCGCGCAGGCCTTCGCCCGCGGCGGCCTCGCCCGTCGGCGCGCCGTGCTGCCGCCAGCCCGCGGCGCCGCCCTCCGCCGCCGCCGCCGCGCTGGCGCCCTCGGCCGCCGGGCCGCCGCTGAGGGGCGCCGCCCCCGCGGCCGCGCCGCCTTCGGCCGCTGAGGGCGGCTGCCCTCCTGGCCCTTCGGGGGAGCACAAGGTGAGGACGACGACGACGACGACGACGACGACGACGACGACGACGACGACGACGACGACGACGACGGCGGCGGCGGCGACGACGACGACGACGACGGGGGTGCTGGTGCTGGTGCTGGTGCTGGTGGTGGTGGTGGTGGTCGTGGTGGTGGTGGTGAGGTGGTGGTGGTGTGGTGGTGGTGATGACGATGAGGACGACGACGACGGCGACGACGACGGCGATGACGGCGATGATGATGATGCTGATGATGATGATGATGATGATGCTGATGATGGTGGTGGTGGTGATGGTGATGATGGCGGTGGTGATGATGGTGATGATAACGATGATGGTAGCGTTTGTGATGGTGATGGTGATGATGGTTATGACGACGACAATGATGATACTGATGATGCCCATAATGATGACAAATATGATGGTGATGGTGGTGATCATCATCATCATGGTGGTTGTGATGGCGATGATGATGATGGTGATGATGATGATGATGATGATGGTGATGACGATGATGATGATGATGATGATGATGATGATGATGATGACGACGGTGATGGTGATGGTGATGATGGTGGTGATGGTGATAATGGTTGGGCCGAACGTCGGAACATCGCCGCGTGAGCGTCGTCCCATACCTGACGGGACGGGCGCTCCGCGCGAGACCTCAGGATACGATAGAGTCAACCCGCATCAGAAGGAAGCGCAGTAAGGATGCAAGGACCTTGGAAGCACATGTTGACGTTTTTCGAGCGCGGCTGACCAGCGAAAGTCGATAAGGCTGGGCCGAAAGGGCAAGGATGCAAGGGTAGCCTTCGGAAGGTTGCCCATCATTACTACGCGGGTGAACGGTCGACTACATCTTCCAAAGATTCCCAAACATCTAGCGGCCCTCGTTTCTGGAGCCCGCGCGGAACAAAAGGATGTATCGGACAGCCTGGGAATCGTGGCAGGCATCAACCTCACTGCTTGTCGTTTCCGCGCTCCTCTGGCCAGGACGGGGGCAGGTTTGCCGCGCGCACGTGGGCGGCGCGCAGCGGGGGGCACGGGGGGAGGCGCGAAGGCTTCTTAGAAGGAGGCTGCATCTCTCAGAAGGGGCCCGGCCCGACAACTGCAGACACGGCACGCGCCTTCTGAAGAGCAAGAGTGCTTCTGAGAAGCCTTGCCCCCCCCGCTGCCCCTCGAACTGCGCGTGGCCGATCGCCGTCGACGTCGCCGTCGCCGCCGTCGTCGTCGTCGTCGCGAGCGGCTCCGGCGCGCGGCGTCCGGGGGCCAGGGGGGGGGCCGCGCGCGACGGCCTGCGCGGGGATCGAGCACCCTCGGGCCCACGCTTAGGTCGGGCCTGTCCCCCTGCAGCAGATTTTCGACGAAAACTACGAAATATTAAAATACCTATACGACCACCCTGCGGGTGATGAGGAGGTTGCGGGGGGGTGGGGGGGAGGGGGGCGGCCCGTGACGACAACTGTGATGAACGTGGTGCTGATGGGCGATGATGGTGTGGATGACGTGGCGGGTGTTTTTTGTTCCTTCGCTCGGGCGACTTGTCTTGTTCGGTTTGCCGCTGCGCGACGCGGCACTCGGCCCACGACGTCCCAGTCGACAATGGGTGCACTGGCAGTGCCTGGTGCGTGCGTCCGGACCTCTCCTATCCTTGGGAGACACGCTGGCAGTGCCTGGCGTCGACGAGCACCCTCCGCCCAGCGTCGGTGGAGACGACTGGCTGTTTGCGGCGGGCGGCTCAGCAGGGACAATGCTGCCAGATGCACTGGCAGCGCCTGGCGCCGTGTTGGCCTGCACCGGCAGCGCCCACGTGATGACCATGCCTTTGTCGGGCTGGCGCGGGCCCCTGGGGCGCCATGCGAATTCCGGGTGGCTCTGAACGAACGCCTTCATGCCACCGGGTGGCAGGAGCTCGTTGAACTCGGCGTACACACGCTCGTCGCGCGGCTCTCGGCCCGTCCACTTATGCGAAATCCAAGACGGGTCGAACTCACCGTAGTGCGTCCAGAGACACTGGCTGGCGAGGTCAACCAGGCGCGCGCCCGCCTCTGGCGCACCAGTTTCCGCGCCGGCACCCCGCAGCCGCGCCGGGACATGCACTGGCAGAGCCTGGTGCCCGGCGTCAGCGCAGGGCAACCCCTCCAAGAGTTCCGATGGACTGACAGTCCAGTGCTTCGGGCGGAGAACGAACTCGGACGGATTTTGCACTATGAGCGTTGCAACCGCCTCCAGGCAGGCAACCTCGCCGGCCTCATCCCGACAACCCCCCCCCAGTCGCCACGAGTCGAAGACCATCTCCGCTCACCAAACTGCGCGGCAGATCCACCGTGCATTCCCACTCGGCGCTAGCAGGGCCTGGCGCCTTGTACTCCTTACGCGCGGTCACAGAGTCCACAATTTTCCCACCGTGCATGTTAGGACGCGTGGACGCATGGCTGTTCAGGATGACGTGCCACGAGATGCGCTTGACCTTGCGATCCACCAGGCACGCGCCGACTGGCACAGCCGCGGCGGCGACCACGGGTAGCCGGAGCGGGGCCGGCGCGCCCGGCTCAAACTGGAAGAGCCGGACCCGCCCGCGCGCGCACCTGGCGCCCCCACCGACGCGGGCCCGCGTGAAACGGACGGCGCGGCCAGGCCGGAGCTGGCAGCGCCTGGCTCGCCCACGCGCGCCGGGGCCTGCACCGACGCGGACCCATGTGAAACTGACGGCGCCGCCAGGTCGGAGCTGGCAGCGCCTGGCTCGCCCGCGCGCGCCGGGGAAGGAGGCTTCCCGCAGCTTGCAATCCTCGCGCTCGTCTTTGACTGCGCGCCACTGCGTCGGCGCCGCCAATTTCCTGGTGGGAACTCCAAGACTGGCAGTGTACTTCATGAGCTCCGCCTTCTTCATGTCATCCACGCGGCCCCCCATCTCGTGGATAGCCCGGCCGCAGAAATGCGCGAGGAGGGCGCCCTGGGGGGGTAGCGCGACCGCAAGGTGGGCGCCTTGAGCCGGAGGAGGAGGACAGTGAGGGGCAGGAAAAGTAGGAGGAGGAAGCGGAGGAGGAGGAGGAGGAGGAGGAGGAGGAGGAGGACGAGGCGGATGAAGATGAAGACGGTCATGATGATGATGGTGGTGGTGGTGATGACGATGAGGAGATGCTGTTGAATGCAAATCCACACAAGCAGGGGAACTGGAAGGACGGCGTGGCCAATAAATGATGATGAGCAACCATGATGAGCAAACGGCGGGACGATGATGAGCAACCATGATGAGCAACCATGATGAGCAACTGGCGGGACAATGATGAGCAACCATGATGAGCAACCGGCGGGACAATGATGAGCAACCATGATGAGCAACCATGATGAGCAACCGGCGGCCAACCGACGGGACAACGTGGGCTACCGCTTGACAAGGCCGGGGGGGGGAAACATTTGTGTTGGCGGGCCCTTAGCGACAGCAGAGTGAATTCCTCTCGCTGGCCCACGCAGCTTCGCCTCGCCCGCACGCACGGCACCAGCACGAACTCGAAACTCGATTTCCCGGCGGGGGGACTCTGTTACACTGCGATCTCACCCCCCAAACCTCCGACAAAAAAAATGACCAGTAATACGCAAAAAGCCTACGCCGAAGACCCCTCTGGCGACGGGGGCACGCAGGAGCGCGCCCGACAAAAGTCGGACCAGGGCAAGCTGACTGCCTGCCAGACCACCCCAACCCAACCCGAAGACCCGAATTTCGGGTTGGGGGGGGTACGGGTTCCATGTGTGCTTTTTCAATGTTCCCCGACCCCCCCCCCACCGGAAATGGAGGGCAGATTGAGGCCTTCGGGTTGGGTCGGGGTGGTTCGGTGGGTGGTGACGAGCCTGTGGCAGGGTCATCAGCTCGTCGTTGTCGTGGTCGTCGTGGTCGCCGTCGTGGTCGTTCTCGTCGTTGTCGTCCTTTTCTGGGTAGGGCGGTGCCATCCGCAAGGCCAGCACAAGAGTCGGGGATATCTGTGGCCCGGCGGCTCTGGAGGAGGAGCAGGAGGAGGAGAGAGAGGAGAAGGAGGAGGAGGAGGAGGAATCTGAGGAGGAGGAGGAGGAGGAGGAATCTGAGGAGGAGGAGGAGGAGGAGGAGGATCAGGAGGAGAGGGAAGAGGAGGAGGAGGAGGAGGAGAAGGAGGAGGAGGAGGAGGAGGAGGAGGAGGAGGGAGAGAGAGAGGAGGAGGAGGAGGAGGAGGAGGAGGAGGAGGAGGAGGAGGAGGAGGAGGAGGAGGAGGAGGAGGAGGAGGAGGAGGAGGAGGAGGAGGAGGAGGAGGAGGAGGGGAAGGAGGAGGAGGAAGAGGAGGAAAAGGAGGAGGAGGAGGAGGAGAAGGAGGAAGAGGAAGAGGAGGGCGCGCCGCGGCCGATCCAGAGCGCTCTGGGAACGCTCCAGAAGACGTCTGGAACGCTCGAGGACCTGCTGCCGGAGGGTTCCAAGGAGGTTTTTTGGGGGGAGGGGGTTCGTCCAGGAGGGGCCCCCCAGGGGCTTCGCACCCCCTGTCTTGACGAGGTTCCGAGTCCCCCGGGGGGCTCTCTGGAAAACCCCCTCCCCAAAAACCCCCTCTGGAACCCTCCGGTACTGGCCCGGGTCAATCCAATCACGGGCCAGTCGGGCCTGGCACGATCCTGCAAAATCCTGCAGGGTCCTGCAAGAGATCCTGCACCCCAGCCGGGGTCAGTGCGACCCTGGCTCTGCAGGCTCCTGCAAGATCCGGCGCTCCGACGGACCCCCGTCTGCACTGACCCCCGTCTCTTGAGCCTCGGAACGCCCTGGGGCGACTGGTCCGATCCTGGGCCCGCCCAAGTGTGGCCTCCAGGTCTCAGCGCCACCACTTGAACGAAGGATTGCAAAAAAAAACCCTCGTCAAGTGAGTGTCTTGTTTGCAATCCTTCGTGTTTTTTTTGCAATCCTTCGTGCTTTTTTTCTGCAATCCTTAGTGTTTTTTGTTGCAATCCTTCGTTGTTTTGCAATCCTTCGATACGAGGCTGGGACTCATCCATAGCCACCGCCTGGGGACCGGCGTCCTGGGGGCTCGGCGGGCGGTGGATTGCGGGCACGTGTCGGCCCGCGGGGGCCCGAATACGTTCACGCCCACCGCAGCTCGAGGTCTCCGAACATCGATCGGTGGCGAGCGAGGGGGGGAAGTGAAAAAGGAGAAGGTCTTCTCAGAAGGCGGCGGGGCTTCTTAGAACCTCGCGCTCCTGAGAGGTGTTCTGCGTCTTCGGGGAAGGCTTAGGAAACTTCTCGGAAGGCCAGGGGACTTCCGAGCCTTCTAAGAAGGCCTTTTCCTGCGAGGCACAAAGACGTACTAGTGCTATATGTCCTCCTTGGAGGCGCGCGTCCGACCAGAACATACGGTATACCCATCATGTAGTAGATCGTGCCACGAGCGGTGTGGCCAAAAAGCGCTCCGCCCCGACGCATACACTACAAGATTTCTCGGTGCGCGCGTCGCCCCCTGGGGCGCCCCCTGGGGAGGGGGGGGGGCGACGCACATGTAGTTATGAGCATGTGGAAGTGACGCCGATCTCCTTCTCGCTTCCCGCCCCAGCTCGCCGCCGAGCGAAGCATACACATCCGCGCCTCGAACGGGGCGCCACCACCAGAGGCGTGGCGGCGACCCGCCCTCGTGCCTGGGGCCTCTACAAGACCACGCTGGCAGCGATGGCTGGCGCACGGCGATGCCGGGAAACTGGTCTGTGCGACGCCGCACTCGCGCAGAACGGATAACAGGAAAACAAGAACACACCTTTCCCACGATTGGGTCGGCCACGAACCACCCCACCTGTAACTCTAGGCGGCGCGCCCAGGGGGGGCAATGAGAAGGGGCGGGCCTTCTCAGAAGGCTCGGAAGCTCCCCAGCCCTCTGAGAAGTCTCCTAAGCCTTCCCAAAAGACATAGAAAGCCTCTCAGAAGGCCAGAGGGCTCCTGAGGAGTCCCGCCGCCTTCTGAGAAGGCCTCCTCCTCCTCCTCCTTCTCCTCCTCCTCCTCCTCCTCCTCCTCCTCCTCCTCCTCCTCCTCCTCCTCACATCTACATCGCCGTTAGCGTGTCTGCGGCTTTTGCCGGGAGCACCTCTCTGGGGGGAGTCCCCCGCCACCACCGCCGCGGCTCCCGAGGCGCGCGGCTCGAAGGAGGTCGGCCGGGACAGGCCCCGAGTGGCGAGTGGAGGCGTCTGGGAGATCCCAGCTCGAGCACAGTCTGGCCAGCGAGCCTACACCGAGGTTCGGCGAATGCCTCGGCGGAGCCTCGTTCGTTTCGTGCCCACGTCCCCTCCACTGCTGAGCCACACCGGCTGCCCAGAGTCAAAGATTTTCGTCTGGTTGATGAACTGGGCGTCCCTCCAAGCGTTTTCTCAAACCGTAGTCCAGTCCAGATACAAGCATACGAACATACTACGGAATATCTAGATCTATCTATATACGCGTATTTGTGTATATATATATGTATATATATACATATATATTATAATAATAATAATAATAATAATAATATAAAAAAAAAAAAAAAAAAAAAAAAAAAAAAAAAAAAAAAAAAAAAAAAAAAAAAAAAAAAAAAAAAACTCACAGGGTCCAGTCCAGATTCCTGGTTTTCTTGAACGAATCTGGAGTCCGTGAACGTTGATGATTTGTCCTCTGATGTCTGATGGGTGTACCCCCATGCACATACTCGAAACACATACCGTGTTGACACAGTGCTAAACACGCGGACTGAACACGTGGGTCTGGCGCGATACGTGCGCCAAAACGTGGGCCATCACCTTGAGCCCACACGGACCTTTTGCCTACGGCATGTGCTGCGTTTCAACACGCGCGTATCGGGGCAGCCAGTGTCCACTGAGTGCAGCAGGAGAAGCAAGCCTTGCTCGCCATCGTACTCTCTAGCGCAGCCCGAGCCCACGTTGAGCTGCCCCCCTCCAGATCCGGGCGCGACCAACAAGACACAGCGGCGGCGCACGTTCCATCGTGTACAGCCTCTCTGGATGGGCCGCTCCTGGGCCACGAGGGGGACCGTCGACAGAGAGGGACCAGCCGAGAACAGCTAGCCCCGAAAAAGAGGAGGAAGGCCCAGACTTAAGTCGGGCCTGCCCCTCTACCAGGGGGAATATTCAAAAATAGTCAACAAAATAGTCTGGGGACTATTTTTGCATATGTTTGCACATTCTTTGACAATTGTTCGAGCACTTTGCATTTTTCGGCCAATACCCGCCTGTGGGGGGAGGACACGCCTATTTTTCGTCCACTATCCGCCATGGGGACGACCCGCAGGGGGGGAGAGCGCAGGGGCCGCGGCCAACAGTGGCAACTGTGTTCGGCAAAGTATTCTCGAAAGTCAGCCGATTACCAGACAAGGTACACCAAGAGTCGCGGAAACCTTCGTTACTGAAATAGTTGACTGAACATCGTCGGCCCACCTGCGTCAGACATCGGACTGGCAAATTGCAACCTCGAAGGATCGCCCCGCAGCGACGACACACCGGCGGCGCGTCGGCGGGGCAAGACCAGTCAGCATCGAAACGGGAAACCGGATCGGATCGGAGTGTGCGTCTGATCGTCCTGCCTCGGCAAGGAATCGCAATCGAATCGGATCGGCCGCGCTGGGATGGACAGATGCGCTTCGAAAGCATCGGACCCCGTCGGATCGTCGGATCGAATCGGGTCGAGCCAGCCGACATCGACATCGAATAGGATCGATGGGAGCGAAATCGACCCTGGATGGGTCGGGGTGGAGACCGCGGGGGGCTCCGGGTCACGCCCACTGTCTGAGGCAACGGCGACGCGGCGCGCCCGTTCGACCCGATCCACTCCGCCCCAGCTTGGGGCCGCCAAGGCCTTCATGCAGCCTGTGCACCTCGACGCAGGCATCGCCGCCGCCACCGCCCCCCTCGGCGCCGCCCGCAGGCTCGACGTCCTCCGAGTGCAGCCCCATCTCGGCGGCGATCGCGCGCACTGCGTGGCTCGTCACGCGCGTCAACCACCTGGAGGGGGGGGGGCCGAGAAGCGGCCGGCACCAGCTGCTCCCCGGCACTCTCCCGGGGCACGTCGAGGCCAGGATCCCGTGGTGGCGCGGGCCCTCCAGGGGAGATCCAGGAAGGCGAGGGCGAGGGAAGGGCATGATGGCATCGGGGTGTGTTTCCCCATCTGGCCTGAACTCGGCCTTGCCGCCAGGCTCCAGGGCCCGCAGCCTGTTCCTCACTCTCGCCTGGAAGGACGGGAACAACGAAGAAGAAGAAAAAGAAGATGAACGACAACAACAGCCAAAACGAAAGGACTGGTTGCTCTGTTCTGCTCGTGCGTCACTCAACAATGTATCCGCCACCGCGCCATCAGCACGTAGTAGAGCGCTCCCTGAGAAATAAAAAGCTGCAAGGCTTTAACAGCCCGGACCACCAATTTCACAAGGATTCCCGGGGACTGCGGGGAATTCCCCAGGATTCCCCTGGCTAGCGCAGCTAGCTCGAGAGGGCCCCAAGACGGCCCAAGACGACCCAGAATCGCCGCACGATCGGTCCAAGACGCCCAAGCTGGTCTCCAGTCGGCCGGGAAGCGCCCAGGAAGACCCAAGAGGCCTCCAAGAGCCGAACCAAATGGGTTGCGAGAGGACAAAAGTTTCCAAAAGTGCTCTGAATTCCCAAGGCTGCTGTTTTCGAAAAGTTCCAGAATGTTTTGGAGGCCCTCGATATTTCTAGCTTCCACCGCTCCATGACGTCCCAAGAGGCCCCCAAGACCGCCCCAAGACGGCCCAAGAGGCCCCCAGCCCCCATGCAGCGAAAGAGGGCTCCAAGACGGCTCCAGAAGGGACCAGGACGGCCCAAGAAGGCCCAACGACAGCCCCCAGAAAGGCCCCCAAAGGGGAACACGAACAGAAAATCTAAGTTCTCCGCCTCAAAAAGCCCACAGGAAGCCCGCCGGAAGCCCAAACGAGGCCCTGAAAGGCCCGAGACCCCCAAGAAGCCCCTAAACGGCTCCAGAGAGGCTTCCAAGCGGCCCCCGAGAGGACCCCGAGACGCCCCCCGCGACATCCCAACCAACCTCCGAGAGGCCTACGACCCACAATCCCCGCACGGTGGCAGGATGGGCCGAAGGCCATTATTTGTGTGTATATATATATATATATATGTGTGTGTGTGCTTGTGTGTGTACGAATATGTATAGTCATGTATGTATGTATGTATGTATGTATGTATGTATGTATGTATGTATGTATGTATGTATGTATGTATGTGTGCATGTATGCATGTATGTATGTATGTGTGTATGTATGTATGTATGTGTATGTATGTATGTGATGTTGTATGTATGGTTGTATGTACGTGTGGAGGTATGTATGTATGTGTGTATGTTTGTATGTATGACTGTATGCATGTATGTGTTATGTATGTCTGTATGTCTACACGTGTATGTATGTATGTACATGTATGTATGTATGTGTGTTTGTATGCATCACGCGATACTAACCCTCTCTGTGGTCGGTTGTGCCCGATCTTGGAAGTACACATTCCGAACCTGCCGCGTGCAATTGGCGCGACCCTCAAGACAGGAAAAGGAGGGAGACGAGACACACAGATGCAGCGAGGATGACAAGGGTGCGGGCAGAGAGGGAGGGAGGGAGGGAGGGGCAAGAGGAAGGGAGAAGGATGGAGCACGAAAGATTAGTAGGAAGGGGTAAAAAGTAGGAAAATCACCACGGCAGCCAGTCACCGTACAGTAAGTTCGGCTGGTGCCCTCGCGCGAAACGAAGGGCAAAACGGCAGACGCACTGCCAGGTGGGCATCCTGGGAAGTTCCAACACATACCCCAACACCACCTGGGCAGATCACCAGCCGAACCAAGAAAATGGGCTGGGAAGGCGGGCGAACAACCAGTCGTTTTTCCACTGTCGCCGCGGTTGCCGTGTCCAGGCAATCCGCGGCGACCTGTGGACGTTGGCTCGCCTTCTGGCATGCCGGCGGCCGACCCCCGTAGAAGGTCTGCGTCGAGTCGCGCGGATCTGCCTTGTCCAGACAGGGCCCCGCCCCCGTGTCCAGGGACTGCGGCAAACGCGTGGGGTTGCCTTATCCAAAAGAAAAACATGTTCCTTATCGAGGAACTGCGGCTGACTTGGGTCTGCCTTGTCCAGTCAGGGACCCGCCCCCTTCGGGGAGCCGAGAATTTGCCGCGCGCGGGTTTGCTTTGTCCAGGCAGGGGCCCGTTCCTTGTCCAGGAAATGCGGTTGAATCCCACCAGCCCTTTTGGGCGTCGGTGGTTTAACGAGTTTCCTCTTCCACCCCTCCTTCTTCCCCTTCGGGGAGGGGTTTACCCCTCCCCCTACCCCCTCCCCACTGACCTGGACAGGGGGGGCCGCGGGTAGTTAGAGCGTCCAAGAACGACCCCTGGGAGGGCTAAAATTCGACACCCCTCACGAGGATCGTGGCTCCTGAGGGGGGGGCTGAAATTTAGGAACCCCTCTTCTTTGATCGATTTCCTCCACGATGGCCGCAAGAGGCCCCCAGGATGCCCCAAGAGGCCGCAGGATGGCCCCAAGATGGCCCCAAGAGGCCCCCCAAGAGGCCCCCAGGAGGCCCCCAAGAGACCCCCAAGAGGCCCCAAGAGACCCCCCAGAGGCACCCAAGGTGCTCCCAGAGGCCCCAAGATGGCCCCAAGAGGCCCCAAGAGGCCCCCAGGAGGCCCCAAAGAGGATTCCGAACGGCCCACAGAGGCCCCCCCGAGGCACCCAAGACGCCGAAAAGCCCCTCAGGACGACCCTCTACTCGCCTGGGCGTCGTTTCTGGACGGGCTGGTGGGGATACGCGAAGCGTCTAGAATTTGTGGGTTGGCCTTGTCCAGGCAGGGACCCGCTCCCCATCGGGGAGCCGAACATTGCCTCGTGGGTTTTCCTTGTCCAGGCAGGGACCCGTTCCTTATCCAGGAAATGCGGCTGCCTTGGGTCTGCCTTGTCCAGGCAGAAACCCGCCCCCATATCGGGGAGCCGAGCGCGGGCGCGAGCGCCTAGTAGACAAGGCCCTTTTGCTCTTGGCTCCCCCGGGCGCTCCCCGCTGGGGAGCCGAGTGAAAGCGCGAGCACGCGGTGCACGAGGAGCGCGCCTCGAACCCTCCAGGGCGGCGGCACCATAGCGGCGGCGGCGGCAAAGCGGCGGCGGCGCAGCGGTGGCAGGCGGTGATGCCGCAAGCCCACAATCGCGGGCAGCGGGCGAATAAGCAGAACAGGCGAAGGTCCAGGAGCCCGCCCCCCGCGATTTTCCTGCCGCAGAAATCAAATATTTAAGGGGTGTGAAAATCGCCGCGGCAGCCGGTCACCATAAAGTCGGCCGGTGCCCTCGCGCGGAACGAAGGGCAAAACGGCAGACGCACTGCCAGGTGGGCATCCTGGGAAGGCCCAACACACCCCTGTGCACTAGGAGGCGCACACGCAACCGCGTCTGTCTATTCCAGGCTCTTTGGAGGGCCCTCAAAAACTTCTGAAGCGCTGAAGCGGCGGCATGCGGCGGATGACAACGACGCAGCAGGTCGTGCAACGCTTTTTCGCACAGCACCCGATGCACACGACCGTCTGTCAAAACCCTGCCGCGTCGCTCGACTCAGAGCGGTCGATCAACCGCTCCGCGGCCGCCATGGCGCCGCGGCTCTCGGCGCTCGCACAGCCGAGCGCTGCCACTCCACGCTGGCCGCCACTACAGCAGAGAGCCGTCGGCCCGCCGGCTCGCAACGCCTCGTCTGCGAAGCCTCGGCGGAATGCGCGCGCGCCCCGCGCTTCGGGCGCGTGGCACCCCGGCGCAGCGGCGCCCATCTTAAGCACGGCTAGCGCTTCAGCGCGTCGCGCGCCCTCGAAGGGCTCGGCGCGCCCCCGGGCAAACCGGGCGAGGGGGCCTGATCCGCGCAACGTTTTGCCGCGTAGCTCACAAATACATCCACGCGCGACACTGGCTGGCTCGTTGAAGCATTTCCTCCTACGCAGGACAAGTACATCGCACCCCCTGCGGCCAACAAGCGCGAACGAAGATGCCACCGCCTCACTTCCAAGCTTCACGAGGTCACCACTGCAGGAGAAAAATTGCCCGGCGATCGCCCGCTATTCTGCGAGCACCGGACATCCGGCCGCTTACGCCCAGTCGCGGAGCTGCCCTGGCTCGGCGCCCACGGCCCGCGTCGCTCGCGCGCTTGTCAGGAGCAGAAGTAGGAATGAACTTGTCAGCGCCTCTCATCAGCAGCTCCGCGCCCGCCAGAGCGAACGCGCGTAGGTGGATGTCCAACCGCGGGGAAACGCCCCGGACGTGCGACTCGCACCTCTGCAGCGACGAACCGCCCCTGAAGAAACGGGCGAAGACGCGGGGCACGGCGGGAGAAGGAGGCCAGCGCCCCCATCCAGCTGCAGCCGCGGTTTCGGCCCAGAGGCGAACTAGAAGCGCGCTGCGGGGCGCCCCTTCGCCACCCAGCAAATTCAACTCACACTGCGCGCTGCTCGTTCTCGACGGGCGACATGCCCGTGAGGCGGGCTCTCTACGCCTTGACCACGGGCCCGTCCGCGGCCGCGCTGCCACGAAAGGAATCCTGACGCCCCAGCGCGGCGATCGCAGCAGCCAATTCCCGGGGCGCGGGGCTTGCGCGAGCACCCAAGGCGCCGCGCGGCAACTGCTACGCCAGTGCGCCTGCGCGCGCGGGCGCCCGCCAGCCGCGAATCCGCGCGGCCACCTGCCCTGGGGGAGGCCGTTGCCACGCGTTTCTCTTGCTTCCGGCAAGGTTCGCGGGGCGCGTCTGCCCGAATGGATCTTCGGCGCCGGGTGAATTTGCAACAGTGCTCTAGCAGCGTCTTCACAGTAGCCACCGCGCAGGCTGCAGGTGGCGCCGCGGCACCCTGCGCCTCGATCGCCATCAAACCGCCCAGGTCACATGGCGCCTGGAAACCTGTTTCGGCTAAAGCCGCTATTGAGGCTGCCGCGTCCGCGCCCGCGCTGGCCCGCGCGGCCGCGGCGCGCGCCGCGGCGGCCAGAGTCGACGCCGGGGCCCCCGCGCTTGCAGACGCTTGCGCGGGCACTGCTGCGCGGCCCTGGTTCGCGGATTCCGGAAACGTCGCCGCGGGCCCAAAGTTGCTCCAGATGGTGCTTCCGGCGCGACCCGACTCTGGCGGACGATTGACGGCGCGCATTTTTCCTGCGCTCGCCAACGGCGGCCGCCACAGTCTTCCCTCCGAGCGCCCCGGGGCGCG